AATTTACCCAAAAGGTTTTGCTGGAGGTATGAAACAATTTTCCGACAATTTTCATCAAATTTTGTGTTATAATGAACATCCGGATGATTATAAAAAAATATTATTGGAGTTCTTAACATTTTTAAAGGTAAATACATTATTTTTTAATTTATTTGATCTAATTTTAAATGTATTTTTTTAGGATGGAATAATCAATCATACAGATTTACAAAAGGCCACATTAGACTTACCATATTTATTCACTATAGAGACAGAAGTTGGTACGAATATGATGAAAACAAAAAATAGCTTGGAAAGATTATACTCCACAGCTTTTCCGGAAGGTAAATCAATTAAATATAACATAATCAGTAAACATGTATTATCCTTTCTTACATTATACTATGCCACCACTCTACACAAAGTTTAGTCCACTACACCAATATATAATGTTGTCTCCATCTCACAGGTGTGTAACATACCAAATATATGCTATATATTTCATATTTTGCTTTGTTAATTTAAAAACTAGATCGGCCTATTATGAAACTTGATGATAAAATTTTTGTCTGTGTTTGTATGAGTTTTTATATGATTATTGAGTTATGAGCATTTTTAGTTAACAGTGTTAACAGTTTATTGAATACACAAAACTTGCTAAAAGATTTAACTTGAGCAAAAAAAAAAAAATCCACATATAAACAGAAAATATGCTTAGCAACAAGTTTCATAATAAACATTGATTTATTCTAATTTTTAAACTAAACAAGTTTAAAGAGCTAAATAAAATTTGGGGAGCGTAAATTTGGTATGTTAGTTAAACACTTCTAACACAGAGACAACAAATACCTCTGTAACTTCCTTTTATACAACTGTTGAACCTGTAACATAATCTCCAGTGTTTTAAAGAATTTAATGTTACACTATTTATGCTTTAAAAACTATGTAAGCTACAATCTTTAAATTTTAATTTTGAGATCCATTCGATCTTATTATTAAAGTTTAAAATAATGCAAGCCATAGTTTCCTAAAATTGTACTGTTACCAGTAAGTTATAATAATATATGAACATAATAGTGCATTTAAATTAGGGGTCAGGAACCTTTTTGTAGGAAAGAGCCATTCTTTTTTTAAATTACTAAACCATGATGTCCAGAGAACTGCACTGATTATTTGGTTCAGGAACTAAGCAACCTTTCTTTGTTGTAGTTGTAGTATTTTTTAAGTAAAATTTATATACAGGGTGTTTCTGAAATGGTTGAGGTAACTATATAGTATATAGTTATCCTCAATGTGATGACCCAATGAAGATTTTTTTTCAATCTTCAAAATCTGGGTTTATTCATCTTATTTTTAGAACATTATATTGAATGACAACCCAAGTTGTATTTTTTGCAAAATTCTCATACGAATCAAGATGTCACATTATTTTTAAGCTGRTCACGCGTTTTTCACGCTCCAATCACCGACTAAAAATAATAATGGTGTGATAGTTATTTAATGTAATTTAACATACATGATTAATTAGTGCATTATTTTACATTGTMAACTAATAAAAATGATAAAATAATAACAAAACTAGTGTTAACATAGTTGTAAATGACCAAATTTAAGTTAGGTATGTGTTTTATAGATGTACAGGTAATAAAATATGGTAACTTGTATCCACAATGTCATAAGTCATAAGTTAGAGATAAATGAAACTAACTATTTGTGTTCCTATTTATACTGAAATTCCCGTTTTTGGATATCGCAGTAACATAATTATTTTGACTCGATAAGATAAACATTTCATTTTGCACTTAGGTAAATGACAACAAATAACTATCAACAATATTTATCTTGCAATTTTCTCATACGAATCGATGTGTCACACCATTTTTTTTTAGTTGGCAATTTGAGGGTGAAAAACGCGCGATAAGCGTAAAAATAACGTAACACTTTGATTCGTAAGAGAATTTAGCAAAAAATATAACCTGCTTGTTAATTTTCACATTTAAGATAATGTTCTAAAAATAAGGTGAATAAACCCAGATTTTGAAGATTGAAAAATAATTTTAAAAAAACCTTCATTGGGTCATCACACTGATATACTAGTTACCTCAACCATTTCAGAAACACCCTGTATATTGATGYATTTTAATTTTCAAAGAGTCACATACAGTCCTGGAGCCTCTAAACTCTAGAAAATTAAATCACGTTAATATTTTGGATTTAATAGTTTGTCTGGAGTATTAAAACGGTTAAGAAATACATGAATGCATAAATATAGTTTAGGTAGAAAAAAAGAATTTACATAACACTAATTTATTAAATTTTTGATGTTGATTTGAAGGGTTATTATACAAATGATGATTTAACCACAAATGTTTTAAACAGCAAAACAAATTATATTTAATTTAATTGTAGCTTAATTTAACCATATAAAACTATTGACATACTTATTTGTATATAGTTGATGCTGAACGTTGTAARTCAATATTCAAAGTGGGAAGTACTGAGAAATTATTATTTGAAATCCAAAAAAAATTCAATCTTCACTTGGATCCAAAAAATTTTGGACAAGGAATCTCAGTTCATGATATTTTAGAATCTGATATGTTTGGATATGGTCTCGGTTGTGAGGTAATTTTATCATGAGCTAGTATATTAAATGATCTACAATATCTTAATAAGTATGTCTATTTTTTATTTAAATTTATTTTGATCCACAGTTTTAAGCTAATTACAAATAATTATTTTATTATTAAGTAATATGTTTATAAATTTACATTTTATTATGAGGTATGGAATCATAAAATAGTTTCTTTCACTTTCGATAAAAACCATAAAACATGTATTGCCAAAAAGTTTGTATACTACAATATTCAGCATCCTGTACTTATTTTAGAATTCTATCTTGTGGAAAACTTATGATCCAATAATCAAATTTTATGTCCAGCAAACAGAATTCAAAACAATGTTAGAGTACTGTGTAATATAGGTAATACTTAATTATACAATATATCCTATTTTTGCAGACAAAMCTCACACGGTATATGTTTTGATCAATATTCATATAATTATTTGTTTTTYACAAAAAAAAAAACTTTRTAATGGTTACTCACATCAGTGCCGGATTTAACCATTATGTTGCCTTAAGCACAAAATAAATTGCCTCTTTTTAATATAAATATTTTTCTAGTCTAAAAAATGTTATTAAATCATACAATTATTGTTTTTTCTTTATTACTTAAAATTTTAATGATGAAAAACAAAAAAAAACAGCTGTTATAAAAATGCATACATATACATTCATATAAAAAATTTAACTATAAAAAATATGATATAAAATATAATGATAAAAAACATGGTAGTAATAAATACTTAAATAGTTAATTATTATATTCAAAATTAAATAGTTAATGTCTAGTACTCATCGGCTTTCTGCGCGACTTTTGAGTCGCAAAATCATCTATTATGTCATCGAAGTCCATTTTGTTCACTAGTTCAGTTTCAATTGCCAATAAACTCAATGAATTTAGTTTATCTCCTTCCATACTTGCTCTCAAATAATTTTTTACACGTTTTAACGTAGAAAAAGACCTCTTAGCTGAACAATTAGTTATTGCCATACATAAAAGCATACGTAGAGCAATATCTACGTTAGGAAAAACTGTATCTAAATTATTACCGTGTAAGTGTATTGATAACTCCATCAATATTTGTATGTATTCATACTTTGAAGATATGCTCGAAAATGAACACATTCACAAGCGAATGATYTTTCTAAATCATTGCTGTAAAATTCTTGAAGCTTATTAGCTTTTTGAGTTATTTCTTCTGGTGAAAGTAGTATTAAATTAGTCAAAAAGTCATATTTGTCAAATTTATTAGTATAAGCAGCGCATCTTTTTTCAAGTTCACTCTTCACWCGGTCCAGTATGGTAAAATATGTTTCTATTCTTAACTTATCACTTCCAGTCATATGAACTTCATTTTCTCTTGTCTCGTCTGCTTGAAGTTTGCGTTTTTTAGTCCTTACTTTATCAAACTCGTACTCTTCACTCTTTATTTTTTTTGGCAAAATTACATATTCATTAAAACATTTATAATTTAGAATAGATGTTATGAAGCTAATTAATGATTTTTAGAGTTTGACAACTATCCCCAAATCTATGTTTACTTTTTGAAGCTCTTTACTTGTGCTATTAAAACGCTCCAAATTGCATTCCAAAATGTCATAAAAACTGTTTCAAAACGGTCAAGTTGACGTCTTAAGCCAGCTGCCTCCACAACGCATCGTCGCCTTTTCAAAATCATCTTCTTCTAATAAACTTAAACTTCTCATAATACCGTCATAGTTTTGATATAAGCTGTCACAAGCTTCATGCCGAGCAGACCACCTAGTTCMATCTGCTCTTTTGACAACTTTTTTACTGAGCGTTAGGCTGGACTTTAAAATATCCCATCGTCTAGTAGATGCAGAAAAAAAAGAATAAAGATGTTGAATAGTGTTAAAAACGATAATCCTTTCACGCATTCATATACACAATTCCCAACCAAATTTAGCGAGTGAGTAGCACATGGTACGTAATACACGTAAGGATTTTTTTTTACTATCCTTGCCTGTAAACCYGAGTAAATTCCCGACATATTGGCGGTGTTGTCGTACGACTGACCCCTGCTGTTGTTTATGTCAATATATCATGTTTAGTTAAAAAAGACAATACGGCCGTTTCAAGTGTTTCAGACTTATGCCCAATATTTGGTAAAAAAAACACATAGCTATATAATAGAKCGATAAACTCTATGATTATGAAATTAAAAAACATAAAATACAAATATTACCACAATCTCGTTGGTCTAAAAACATTTTATAATWAGTTGCATTTATTTTAGTAAAAATGTAATATTAAAAATTATTTGCTGCCCTTGAGAAATTGCAGCCCTAAGCACTAGCTTATAGTGTTTACTGGTAAATACGGCACTGACTCACATTAAACACATCAGTGACCTGAGTATAGATACATTCAAAATCTACCATACAGCAAAGTAAATTCCCCAATTTGTTTTTTTTAATTAAATGTTTTATTTATAGTACCACGAGTCAAAAGATATTTCAAACAAATGTTCCAAAGCTCGCATTTTTCAATGGATGTCAAATATTTGCAAGTACATAGGTTCTAATACTGATTTAAAACTTATACCTGGCAAACACATTGCAGTTCAATTAAAAAATGGTTCAAAATTGGTAAATATGGCTTATTGTTTATTACTTTATACACCATGTATTYAAAAATATCAATTATTTACTATCATATTTTATTGTTTGTTTAAGATAATTGAAAATGCACATTTGCCTCTGTCAAAAGATGATCTAAATATATAGACAGACTATTTCCATTGATGATATATTGAACAACTCAAAAATTCATCTATTCTTCCACAAACGCAACTAAGTAATATAATTAATTTTAATAGTACATACAATATACTATTTTATACTGATTCATTTTAAATAATAGTTTTATTTTGGTATAACAAAAGRAAATGCTTACATCTAGGTGTTAATTCAAGTAATGTACCTACTATTCACAATATAGATACCTACTATATATTTTATGGTCTTAACTGTATTAATATTTCAAGAATTAAAAAAAACGTGGGTCTTGCCACCATTTTAATTTTTTATTATTATTTTCTATTATTTGGTATAATAGAAATGTAATTATAAAAAATGAGAACACCAATTAGCTATTTTTAATACCATATATATATTATTATTATTATCATCTAATAACATGTATATCGTTTATTTGTTATGCATTTTTGC